TGACTAATTGATGAGTAGGTGGTCAACTCTTGACTTGGTAACAATCCTTATCTTCTCTTGTCTGCCCAAAATATTATTGATGATGTCAAAATTGAAACCACTTGAATATATGAAAGTTCTAGAAAATTATCTCAGCTTTTCAAAAAAAAAAAAAATTGAGGTCATTTGAACTTCTAGAACTCTAGATATTGGCCAAACACTAAATAATGTTCGGGTTGTAAGATAGATTCAGACTTCTTTGTTGTTGCTATAATTTCAATTTGAAAATGACCTTTTTAAACCTTAGGCTTCATAAAAGTTGTAGGCCTATGTCTTATCTTTCCATCCATATAAATCAAACCTAAATCCAAAATCTACAGCTCCAGATATGACCCAATTACCGAACAGTGTTCTATTTATACTGCACCAGCATCTCTTCTTTAACTTTGACCATCTCTTTATCCTTTCAATTTCAGTTCTTAAACTCATCAATCAATCCTTTTATTTATGTGATAGGCCTGTATTGAAATGAACATTTACCTCAAATTAAAGGTATCTTATATTATTAGATATGTTATTATAAAACATGCTTTAGTTAAAGAGTTATTGATACTTCAAGTGTAAAATTATAATATAAAACCTTGATAAAAATACTCTTTTAAGTGCTAATCACAAGGTATTATAGATTCATCAGGAAAGTAGTTATCGATTGGTGTGATGTCAGATTTTGAATATATTGTCAATCTTGACAAATAATTTGCAACAACATTTTCAGTACCTTTCTTATATTTGATTGTGATGTCAAATTCTTCAAGTAATAAAATTCACTGCACCAATCTAGCCTTAGAATCTTTCTTAGAAAGAAGGTATTTCAATGTTGCATGATCACTAAAAACAACAACAGGTGAGCCAATAAGATAAGACCTGAATTTTTCACATGCAAATACTACTGCAAGTACTTCTTTTTCAGTGATGGTGTAATGCATTTAAGCACCATTTAAAGTTTTACTTTCATAGTAAATCACATAGGGTTTCTTACCTTTTCTTTGTCCCGAAATAACACTCACAACATAATCACTAGCATCACACATTATTTTAAAAGGTAATGACCAATTAGGAGGTTGAATGACAAGAGCAGAAGTAAGCAAGTTTTTAAGTTTAACAAAGGTTTCTTCATAATATTTAGTCCATTCAAAAAATTATCCTTTGTTAGAAGGTTACATAAGGACTTAGATATTATACTAAAATCTTTGGTGAACCTTCTATAAAAACCAGCATCTTCTAAGAATGATCTAACATTTTTAATAGATTTTGGTGTTAGCAAGTTAGCAATTAACTTGATTTTAGATTTGTCAACCTTAATTCTTTTTTATGAAACAATCTGACTAAGTACAATGCCTTTTGTTACTTTTAAGTGATATTTTTTCTAATTCAGTACAAGATTCTTTACACTTGCTCCAAATCTTTTTCTAAGTTAGTTAAACAATCATCAAATGAATCGCCAAAAACAGAAAAATCATCCATGAAAATCTCAAGAAAATGTTCAACCATATCACTAAATATACTAAGCATGCATCTTTGAAATGTGGCTGGTGCATTACATAATCCAAAAGGCATCCTTCGATATGCAAAAGTACCAAATGGACATGTGAAAGTAGTCTTTTCTTGATCTTCCAATGCAATTTCAATTTGGTTTTAACTTGAGTAACCGTTTAGAAAACAATAAAATTCATGATTTACAACTGACACGACTAAAAAATTGATGTCTTCTCCCAAATGCAGGAGTGTTGAAGTAATAAATAACCCGGCAAGACCGGGGTCGAACCATAGGGAGGTTAATTGTACAAATTATAAATACAATAATATAACAACAATAATAATAACAACAACAATAATAGTAATAGTAATAACAAATAATAACAATAATAACAATAACAATAATAATAATAGTAGTAATACTAATAATAATAGTAATAATAATAATAACAATAATAAAGAAAAAGAAGGAGAAGAAGAAGAATAAGATGAGAACTTTGAGATGAAATATTAATGTAACGATTAAACAATAATAATAACAAATGTCAAGGTTAGAGGTTCCACTAATGGTATGTTAAACAAGTATAGTATAAACTGTTATTTTCTTGACATAATTAACTTAGCTAGACATAATGAAAGAAAGCAA